CCCCCCCCCCCCCCCCCCCCCACACACACTCCCCCACAGACACACTCCCTCTCCCCTACACACACACATACAGACACAGACAGACACACACTCTCTCTCCCACACATTCTCTCTCTCCCAAACACACATGCGCACTCTTTCTCTCCCATACACACACACACTCTCTCTCCCACACACGCACACATACACACACTCTCTCACACACACATGCACACCCTCTCCCACACACACACACTCTCTCTCCCACTCACATACACTCTCTCTCTACCCCATACACACACACATACACACACACACACTCTCTCTCTCTCTCCCTCACACACACACACTCTTCCTCACGCACACACACTCTCTCTCTCTCACACACACACACACACACATACTCTCTCCCTCACACTCACAGTCTCTCCCTCACACACACACATAAACACTCACACACACACACAGACATACACACCTACCCACAGACACACACACACAGACAATACACAGGGATCAGGAGCAGCATGGTGAATCCTCACCCTCTTCTCTCTGCCGCAGAGACACCGAGGGAGGGGGTGCAGCGATGCAGGAGAGAGGAGGGTAAGGGAAAGGATGGGGGCTGGTGGATTGTAACAGAAAGTCTGTATTGTTACAGGCAGCAGCCAATAGTGTGCAACAATCCGTCCTTTAGTGAAAGAATGCCAGCTCTCCCCTCTTAGGTGCTTTTCATCTCCGTCCTCCACACCAGCCTTAAACACACACACATACATAAACATGGAAAACCATCTGCTTTAAAGGGTTAATTTCCTACCGAACACTGAATCGTGCAGTTCTGCTTTGCGTCCCATTGCTATCCGCTGCTAATTGTATTCACTTTCAGTCCTCCTCGCTGTCTCTGTGTCCCTCCTCTGCCAGGATTAACAGCGTTCAGTGTTTATGTCTCAGATCCTGCTCTCTCCCTACCCTCCCCTCTCGTCCTCAACCAGCTAATCCCCAACGTCAGAGCATCACTTTTGAAGTGCGAAGCGTCATCTAGTGTGGAGAGAGAAAGATGCTGAAAGCTCACAGTGTGAGACTGAATAAAGCAGAGAGGCAGACAGACAAAAGGAGATTTGGAGTTGGAGGGGATAACTGGAGATTGCAATTGGCACAAATATTGTTGTCAGGAATTCATGACTGACCCGTAAACAAAACGGGGAAAGGATTTTATATGTGCACAGCCAAGAAATTTGCATTTCTCTAGCGCCTGTCAGAATGTCCTAAAGCAATTGGCGCTTTTCTAGAGTCAAAGAGATGTGCAGCGCGGTAACAGACCCTTCGGTCCAACTCGTCCACGCCCACCAGATTTCTGAAATTAATCTAATCCCATTTGCCAGCATTTGGCCCATATCCCTCTAAACCCTTACTATTCATGTACCCATCAGATGCCTTTTAAATGTTGTAATTGTACCAGCCTCCACCACTTCCTCTGGCAGCTCATTCCATACACGCACCACCCACTGTGTGAAAAAGTTGCCCCTTAGGTCCCTTTTAAATCTTTCCCCTCTCACCTTAAACCTACACCCTCTAAGTTAGACTCCCATGACCGGGGGAAAAGACCTTGACTATTCACCGTAACCATGCCCCTCATGATTTCTTGAAGCGTAAGCCACTGCTGCAATGAAGGAGGTAGCTAGTTAGTGCACAGCAAGATCCCACAGAGCATTAGGATAAATGAACAGATACCTCAACACTACTTTCAGTGACGATGATAGAGGAACCCAGATTGACCCAGGGCAGAGAGGAGAACATGCTCTTCCTCCAAATAGTGCCTTTGGATCATTTCCATCCACCTGGGGGAACAGCAAAAACATCCCCCACACTCTGGGGGATTGCCCAGATTTTCTGCTTAGTCAGGTGACCAAAACCACCTTGGTCAAAGAACTAAGTTTTCCAAAGCACCCTAAAGGATGATGCAAGATATAGGGAGGCAGGGAGTTGTGGGGTCATTATTCCCAAACCTCTTGCCTCATCAACTGAAGACACAACCACCGACAGTGGGGTGACCAGCACTGAGGATGTGCACATGGCCTGAATTGGAGAGTGTTGAGATCCCAGAGGGTGTGGGCCACCGGAGATGGCAGGGATTCGAAAACAAGGAGAAGAACTTTAATACCAGGATATTTCTTCACCGGGATCGAACATCAGTCAGTGAGGATCGTGGAGGGCGGGGGGAGTTTGGGGAAAGGGACTTGGTGCGGGTTAAGACAAGGGACAGCAGAGTTTAAGTTGACCTCAATTTAGACCCATGTGTGACTCTAATTATCAAGGGTTGAGACAACTAGCTTGATGTGGATCTTTTGCATTTCAGATGGAGTTTTATTACATTTCTCGTACATTTGGCTTATCTAATAAGTCAGAACAGCTTCGCAGCCCTGTTTTATTTTATCTCCTGCTATCACTGACAGATGGGGCATGGGACAGAGACAGCTGTCAGCTTGGGAGTGACAGGGGATAGGCAGTGAAGAGCCAGGAACAGGGTCACAGAATGTAGAATGTGGAAGGGCAGCCATGGAAAAGAGTGGAATAGCCTAGTCTCGGGTTTTAGGGCAAGTGAGCCCTGGGTGGAAAGAAAGCAGCAGATTGGATAGTCTCGATTATGGCAACAAACAGGTCTATGAGCTTCTCACATTGTGTTTTGGAGGCGATAAAGGAGGAAACAGGGAGGAAGGAGTTTACAAAGAGAGCTTTCAGTCCAGAAAAACAACTGAGAGTTATCTTTACAGTACAGGATGTTCCCTGAACAGTGAACAGCTTCAGCAAACCAAAACCGGAGCTCAGTGTTTTATCCAGAATCCAGAACTGAGGGTGGATGGGTAGTTGGGGACGAGAACAGGGTCAGAATAAGGGGCTGCCATTACAGAAAGACTTCCTTCTCCAGAAAAATCATTAATCTTTGCAATTCCCTACCTCAGAGAGCAGTTCAGGCAAGGTCATTAAATTTATTCAAGGATGACTTCAACAGATTTTGGATCAATGAGGAAGTGTTAGAGAGAGGCAGTCAGGGAAGTGGCAGAACAAGCCTGATGGGCCAAATGGCTTTGTCCTGCTATTTCTTATTATTTTATGTTTATTTCATTCCAGCTTTGTGTTTCTTCAGGAGGGGTGGAGAAATTGGGGTCCATTCCAGGGGAATAGGAGATGGTTAAAATTGAATCAGAGATAGTAGGAACTGCAGATGCTGGAGAATCCGAGACAACAAGGTGCAGGGCTGGATGAACTCAGCAGGCCAAGCAGCATCATAGGAGCAGAGAGGCTGACGTTTCGGGCCTAGACCCTTCATCAGAAAAGGGGGAGGGGAAGGGGGTTCTGAAATAAATAGGGAGAGAGTGGGAGGTGGATAGAAGAGGGATAGAGGAGAGGATAGGTGGAGAGGAAACAAACAGGTCGAAGAGGCGGGGATGGAGCCAGTAAAGGTGAGTGTAGGTAGGGAGTTAGGAAGGGGATAGGTCAGTCCAGGGAGGACGGACAGGTCAAGGGGGCGGGATGAGGTTGGTCGGTAGGAGATGGAGGTGCGGCTTGAGGTGGGAGGAGGGGATAGGTGGGAGGAAGAACAGGTTAGGGAGGCAGGCAGGAAGGGGGAGTTGAAATGGTTCGCGACTGGGAGGAAACAAGAAAAAGGAAGGAAAGGGGGGAGGGGAGGAAGAAGAGATAAAATAAACCAAGGGAGAGGGAAATAAAATAATAAAAAAAACACAGGCTGTAGGTTGATCCATTTCAAATCCCCCTCCCATTCCTCAGACGACATGTCCATCCTGGGCCTCCTGCAGTGCCACAACGATGCCACCCGAAGGTTGCAGGAACAGCAACTCATATTCCGCTTGGGAACCCTGCAGCCCAATGGTATCAATGTGGATTTCACAAGTTTCAAAATCTCCCCTCCCCCTACCACATCCCAAAACCAGTCCAGCTCCTCCTTGCCTCCCTAACCTGTTCTTCCTCCCACCTATCCCCTCCTCCCACCTCAAGCCGCACCTCCATCTCCTACCGACCAACCTCATCCTGCCCCCTTGACTTGTCCGTCCTCCCTGGACTGACCTATCCCCTTCCTAACTCCCTACCTACACTCACCTTTACTGGCTCTATCCCCGCCTCTTTGACCTGTTTGTTTCCTCTCCACCTATCCTCTCCTCTATCCCTCTTCTATCCGCCTCCCACTCTCTCCCTATTTATTTCAGAACCCCCTTCCCCTCCCCCTTCTCTGATGAAGGGTCTAGGCCCGAAACGTCAGCCTCTCTGCTCCTATGATGTTGCTTGGCCTGCTGAGTTCATCCAGCCCTGCACCTTGTTGTCTCGAATAGGAGATGGTAATGCTTTTACTGGGATCCAGGGTATCAAAGGCTGGAAGTAGGAGTGTTATTGAGAGAGTCAGTTGCTGTGGAGATGTTGTGGCAAACAGAGGCCAAGAGGAGAGACAGTTGAAATTTTGAAAGTGCTCATGTAGATTGATGTGGAGATGCTGGTGTTGGATTGAGGTGGACAAAGTCAGAACTCGTAAGACACCAGGTTATAGTCCAGGTGTAGAGCTGGATGAACACAGCAGGCCAAGGTAGCATCAGAGGAGCAGGAAAGCTGACGTTTCGGGTCGGGACCCTTCTTTCTGAACTGCATCAGCAGTTCCTACTATCTCTGAGGTTATAGTCCAACAGGTTTATTTGAAATCACAAGCTTTCAAAGCGCTGCTCCTTCATCACGTGACGAAAGAGCAGTGCTCCGAAAGCTTATGATTTCAAATAAACCTGTTAGACTATAACTTGGCGTCATGTGACTTCTGACCTTGTAGATTGAGACTGGCTTTGTTCTCAGGGCAGGTACAGATGGAGGGATGGAGTGGAGAAGGGGATGTAGGTAGAGGGCGATATAATGAAGGATCAGGAATGGCCTTTCCTGTAATTAATATTGTGATTGATGGTCTATGTGAATGGCAAGGTGCAGGGGTTCTGTGAATATGGTTCACAGGGAGGGGGATGAGATTTTGGAAAGATCAGAAGACAGTGAATTTGGAATTAAACATGAAAAAGGGAAAATTTACATCACAACCTCAGAATATCGCAAAGTGCCACACAACCGAGAAATTGCTGTCCATGTTGTATTGTAGGAATCTTCACACAGAGTTAGAAAGGAAGAGTTGCATTTAAAGAGTGCCTTTCTGTGATTTAAGATCATCCCAAAAAGCATTACAACAGTCCGTCCTTTTCCTGAAGTGAAGTCACTGTTGTAATGTGTGAAATACAGAAGTTAATTCATGAATTTGATGCACAGGTAGGGTTGACGGTCAGAATCCTTTTCCCAGAACTGAAATTTCTAATACTAGGGGGCATGCATTTAAGGTGAGAGGGGGAAAGTTCAAAGGAGATGTGAGGGGCAAGTTTTTCACACAGAGAGTGGTAGGAGTCTGGAACTCACTGCCAGGGGAGGTGGTGGAGGCAACTACAATAACGAAGTTTAAAGGGCTTCTAGATTAGCACATGAATATGCAAGGAATGGAAGGATATGGACCAAGGGCAGGCAGAAGGGATTAGTTTAATTTGGCATCATGTTCAGCATAATATCATGGGCCAGAGGGCCCGTTCCTGTACCCTACAGTTCTATGTACTATGTTAACAGCAAGCTCCCACAAATAGCAATGAGATAATGATCAGACCATCTGTTGTCGGTCTTGATGGTGAGATAAGTATTGGGTCAGACACCAAAAAGACCCCTCTCCTCTTCTGTCAAACACTCGCATGGGAGATTTTTATTTGCTGCCTGAGATGTAAGACTTGGTTTTCAGTTTAATGTCACGTCCTAAAGACAGCACCTCAGGGAGTGCTGTACTGTCTTGCTACTGCACTGGGACAGTCAGACTGGTGTTTGTGTTTGAATATATGAAGAGAACCTGCTGGAAAATAACAGCAGATCTGGAAGTATCTGTGAAGGGAGAAACCAAGTTAACATCTG